TGAGGAAAATGCGGAATTGTTATCTTAGAATCAAAATTATCTCAAACACCTTTCATAAAACTATGAGCGATATTTATATATAGGACGATGCTATAGATTCTATTACTGCTCTTTTTTTAATAAATCACAATGTGTAAAAATATCGATTACATTAATGTGGTGGTTTTTTACCACATTTAATGCATCAAATACACACTTGACATGTGTGTGCTACATATGACGACTGCTGCAGTGAGCGACTGCAAGTATCATTATTCTTTTGTAAAAGCTATCATGAAAAAAGTTATGAGGTTATATCCTATGGGTAAAACTTCGTGTTAGGCTAAAGGATTAGATGGTAGACTCAAGTATACAACTCGTAGCTCAACTCGTTAATTAGAAAAATATTATCATCTTTAGTATTGAAATACAAACGAAATTTAAGGAACAAAAAAATTACGATGATCAACAAAATTAATACGGTGAGTTTGGTGATATAATTTTCTCATGCTTTGTTACTTCATTGATATCAAAAGTCATGATTTTTCTACAATTTTTGCCAAGCTAGACTAATAAATAAATAAATAAATTCATGGCTAAGAAGATGGGGATAGAAATGGTGCTTAAATAAAAAATAAAAAAATACGAACTTATTTAAAACAAAATAAAGTATGATAATTAAAATAAAAATGAAATGTATGTCAATTAATGACTATTAAGAGTGTTTTAAAAAGCGTAAAACGTTCTAAACGTGGAAGTAAAACTTCAAGATTTACGAGCTAAAACGAGTGTAGGCGATGATTAGACGTTAAAAAGCGTTTTCTTATTTTTAATTTTTATCAATTTAAAAATCATTTAATAATTAAAATAATATTTATAAAACATCTAAAGTTATAAAATATTATATTTACTTAAAAATTCCTACCATTGGTCAATTATATAGTTTTCAAAATACAAAAAAATAGAATATTTTTCATAATTTCAATTTTCAACCAAACAAGTCATATTTAATAGATTTATAGGAACTTCATACATGTATTTAGAGTTCGCAACAAAATAACGAGTTTTAAGATTATAATTATATAATGCAGATAGTACCATAGTTTAAATCTTATTTAAATATTTAGATAAATTTATTTTTAACTTTTGTACAGATAAAATCTTTAAAAACTTAAAATTAAAGTCAGATGAAAAGTTTTTTTAAAAATTTAAAATATTAATAAACAAAAATCAAATAAAATATTTTTTTAATAAAGAAAAAAATAAAAAAAAAACTAATAAAGGGCGCTTAGATAAAGATGAAAAATGAAGGAAAAAATTCAACTATTTAGGAATTGGCGGAAAAAAAAAAGAGTTTAGATGCGTAGTATGTCGTTTTGCCCAAGTTTTGAGCTTAGGTGGTGTTTAGATGAGCTTTTTGGAACGCTGATACTAAGCATAAGTGAGTTGTCCACCTAACATGTCCGTCCTTGAAAATGTATGCCAAAAATAATACATCACGCTCTTAGCTACAATTTTACGTGGCAATGAGTTAAAATATTTATTGGCATGTTGTCAGGTATCTATATGTTTTGGAGGGTAATTGATATTTTCCATGAACAATTGTCATGTACTTGGCTCCTCTCGCCAATCACGACTTGTTACGTGGCGAATGACTTGTAATTTTCATGTATTTGGCTCCTCTCGACACATGATGGATAGGAGAGTGAAGAGAGAAGACATGAGAACGTGGAAGATATGAACAAGATTGATGCTTAGGAAAGTCAACAAGGATCAATGACAAAGGAAAATGCTCTTATGCCAGATCTGTGAAAGGTTTGGTATTGTTGAGCACTCACATGGACCCATCTCATTAAAAAAAAGTCCCCCCAAATGTTAAACACCCACCCCCCATCTCACAATTTGCTCTATCAGGCCTTTTGGCTCTTATGTCAGACTTGTGAAAGGTCTGGTATTGTTGAGCACTCACATGGACCCACCTCATTAAAAAAAAGCCCCCTCCCCCCAATGTTAAACACCCACCCCTCATCTCACAATTTGCTCTGCCAGGCCTTTAAAAGGCTAAAGGCCTGGCAGAGCAACATGGTCCAATGAGAAAATAGAATAATATTGTTTATCATTAAGGGCCTGTTTGGTAGGAATTCTCATTTTCTACAGTAAATCAATTTTCATTTTTAAGCACACATTCTTCAATAAAATAATATTTTTCATCACATCAATAATTTTTTTTTCTTTTTCAAACACACATTTCCCATCATATCACTATTCAAAATCAATTCTTCCACTAAAAAATCTCTACCAAACAAGCTCTAATATAGAACCATCGTCATTCATCGATAATTAATTCCACAATTCCGTATTCAAAATAATGATGCTCTTTGATTCGTTGATGATAGAACAACGAACTAGATAACTCATCGCACCTAATAATTCTTGGCCATTTAATTATTTTCGATTTATTTATTTATTTATTTTGTTTGTATTAAAATTTGAATTGTTTTAAGTGTATATTTTATGGATTATATTTTGGTGTACATTGTGTGAAAATTCTTGAAGTGTTGGGCAAAAAAATGTTTTATTAAAAATTGTCCAATCACGTGTCGATTACGTGACATAATATCAAAAATGATTTAAAAGAATATTTATATATAGTAAGATTTTTAAATCTTACATCGTTCTAGACCATTCTTCGAACATGTATGATGTGCTCTGTCCGAAAGTAGTATCATAGGGACTGGGACACCCCTCTCCTGCTCTCCATACCATCACACCACAGAACCATGTGACGTGGCCCTTATCTCTTAAGTACACGTGTCCTTCTCTAATTAAGTATAGAGGTGATCGCTTAGCTGTCGAAACAGTTTCGTGGTCCCCCACCATAATTTTCTTTTGAATCTCACTGCCACCGGCTACCGGATACACAAGTTGCTATCAAACAATGCATGAATTCTCCAGTATAAAGTAGTACACCAAGCACATTTTGTAACAAGCGCCAAAGTGTTCCCTATACAGTGTGTCCCAAATTATTAGTTGTACGTCACACCATGTCTAGCGAGTTCTTTAACGTGCCGTTCCGCCATATTGCATTCGGACATCGAGATGAGTTCCGCCAGCCCGGCGCTGTCAAGGCGGCGCTGGCCGAGTTCATCAGTACCCTGATTTTTGTGTTTGCTGGCGAGGGTTCCGGCATGGCTTACAACAAATTGACTGGGAATGCTCCTAGCTCCCCATCCGGCCTTGTGTCGGCAGCGGTGGCTCATGGTTTTGCCTTGTTTGTGGCTGTTTCCATCAGTGCTAACATCTCCGGCGGCCATGTCAACCCTGCTGTCACTTTTGGTTTGTTTCTTGGTGGAAACGTCTCTCTCTTCCGAGGTCTCCTTTACATCATCGCTCAGCTGCTGGGCTCTATTGTTGCTTGCCTTCTCCTCTTGTTCTCAACTGGCGGACTGGTAAGTTTTTGAAATAAGAAGATTTTGGGTCCCAAACAATAACTGTGGCCCCTAATTAATTGAATGAAACTTCGATGCAGGAAACATCTGCATTTGCTTTAGGCGCCGGCGTGTCGGTGTGGAACGCCTTCGTTTTCGAGATTGTGATGACCTTCGGCCTGGTTTACACTGTGTACGCCACCGCGGTTGACCCGAAGAAGGGAGAAGTTGGCATTATTGCACCAATTGCAATTGGTTTCATCGTTGGTGCCAACATTCTGGCGGGTGGTGCATTTACTGGTGCTTCAATGAACCCTGCAGTGTCATTTGGTCCAGCTCTGATCAGCTTCACCTGGACCCATCACTGGGTGTACTGGGCTGGACCTCTCATTGGTGGTGGACTTGCTGGTATTGTTTATGAAATCTTCTTCATCAGCCATTCTCACGAGTCCTTGCCCAGTTCAGAGTACTGATTTATTAAATGAAATCGGCCTGTTATTTTATGCTTTTGTATTTATGCTGCTGCTTGGTGAGAGGATTTTTTTTAGCTTGTTCTCTTTCTTTTCTTGTTTGTACTTTTGTAATTCTCTGTTGAAAATGCATCATGTATTTGCAGTTGCTCTTTTTTTATTCCCAGTTTCAATTTTTGTGGTTATAATGAAAGCTTTTTTTTTTTTTAGTGAAAATGAATTTTAATTTCATGTTTATTGGAAAATAAAAATTAATCAAATCTATAGAAATTCGTTTTTATTCGGACGACATTTTTCATAAAATTGTTTTTATTCAAAAAGAGCTTTATAAAAATCAATATTCTCGATCCACTTCTGCCTAGTAACTAGGTCCACACCCTAAGGCATTTGATAATCAAGATTATTTTATAGTTATTTTTCATTAAACATTCATTTATTCGTATAATTATAGTTACTATCAACAAATTTCTTAGAAACATAATTACTTGAATAATAATTTGTTGATTCGAGTCCTGTTGTTTTTAAATCTTTAATCATCCTTAAGCCACTTGACCTCGACATCGATCTTGGACATTTGTCGAATTAAATGAATTAGGGACAAAAGACATGTTGAGGATGTAGGACATAACAATTCAATAAATACAGTAAAATTACTTGTATCGAGCGAAAGATATTGTAAATCTATTTGAAAATGATTGCAATAACTTTATTATCACCTTTATTAAGTGAATTATTTGTTCCCAACTGAATTATTGCTCAATTCGACCGCTCCACCCTTTTTAATTGTAAATTACCCTCATGTCATGTCATGTTAAATTTTTGTCTTTTAACTTGGGATATTCTAATACTTACGCGTGTTTTGCGAGGTTGCCCTCACTTGAACCATTGATCCTAGAAAGTTGTTTCGAAATATAATTCAAACTAATGTTAATATCTAATAAAATATTATTTACCTTTTTAAGAAATAAAAAATATTTTATGGATATTTATTTGGACCGTAACAATTATCATTACCTCTTTTGACAGGACAATTATCATTCTACGACTATACTCATATTGAAAATGTTTTCTTTTTTGACATGACAATTATCATTCTACAAATATATTCATGTGGGTAATTGGCGCAAAACGTCCTTACTTCTGACGAGTTTTGTGAAAAACGTCCATACGTTTGAATTTTTGGTGCAGAACGTCCCTACCTTTGCATTTTCTTGCGCAAAACGTCCTTCCGTCCAACTCCCGTTAGAATCCACCGTTAAATAAAAGGGTAATTGGCGCAAAACGTCCCTACCTATGATGGGTCTTGTGGAAAACGTCCCTACGTTTNCTTTGCATTTTCTTGCGTAAAACGTCATTTTCACCAATTTTTAACATAAAATGATCAATATACACTCCTATATAAATAATAATAAAAAAGAACTATAAAGAACAAATTGTAATTAGAGACCCCGACGTTTAAAAATGTGCAAATAACCCACAACACTTCATCTTCTTCCCAAAACTCACCCCGTCCCGCCGCCGCCAAAACCATAACCCCCATAGTCCTTCTCCCATTTCTTCCTTCATACTTTGGTAAACTAGGGAAAATTCTTAAAACTAATAAGAAAATTCCAAATCACCCAAACCCCCCACCAAGAACCCTAAATCACACCAACCCAATTCGGAATTCAAGCTACTCAAATCGCGATTTGAGCTTAACGAAGCCTGATCTTGCCTTGAGAGATCGAGCTGATTCGAAATGCTGGCTAAGGTTGAAGAGTTGAGCTCTCATGGAGCTCAAATCTTAGGGGCTAGAGACGAAGACAATTGGAACACATCTACAACCTTCAATTATCAACACAGTGCTGCCGCTGCAAATCCCGGCAACCAAGTAAGTTTATTTCCAAATCGCGATTCGAGTTGATTCGAAACCTTTACATGTTTATTCTTTTCAATTTAGTCTTGACAAATTTATGGGAAATGCAAGAATAAATATGGCGAAGCTTCTGGAGAAAAATTGCTGAGTTTTTCACTATGGCCGACCCTTTACCAATACAATCGTTTGCCTCCTCAAAATGGGCAGGGCTGAAACAAGAGAACACCACCTCCAAATTTCACTTCCAAAATTTTCACTCTGGCTGACCCTGTTTTCTTGGATACAAGATCTTTAATAAAAAATATTCAGAATTTTCAGTTCTCAAGGAAAGTTTGGAGTGATATTGATACTGAGAATGGCCTCTCTGAACTGTTTTTATGGTTGAAAATGGACGGCTGGCGGTGGTGGGACAGGGTGAGTTTTGGGAGGAAGGTGAAGTGTTGTGGGTTATTTGCACATTTTAAAATGTTTGGGTCTCTAATTACAATTTGTTCTTTTTAGTTCTTTTCTTTTTTGTTTTATTTATATAGGAGGGTATATTGGTCATTTTATGTTAAAAATTGGTGAAAATGACATTTTGCGCAAGAAAATGCAAAGGTAGGAACGTTCTGCACCAAAAATTCAAACGTAGTGACGTTTTCCACAAAACTCGTCATAGGTAGAGACATTTTGCGTCAATTACCCTATTCATGTTGAAAATGTTACATTTTCTTTCTTGACAGGACAATTATCATTCTACGACTGTATTCCTATTGAAAATGCGATAAAAAAAAAAATATTTTACGCGTACTTATTTGGACTAAAAAATTATTATTATATATATTTTTTGTCAAGACTATTATTATTCTACGGCTGTATTTTCATATAGAAAATGCAATTTAATATTAATAATTGCAAGAATCAACACGAGAAGTACTTGAGAGATTGTCAAAAAGGCAAATAAAATATCTTCAAAAAACTTTAACGTTTATGTCCGTTAAAAACTACATGAAAACTCAACAACATTAAAAATGTTTCATCCATAAAATAGTGGAAATTCTTTGGGATGACTTTTCGGAGAATGAGTGTATTTTGGGATTTTTTTTTTTTTTGGTGTAGATCATATGTTGGAAGTCATTTGATGAGATGGATAAAAGCCTTTAATCTTATGAAATGTGTGGATAATAAATAATATTTGACTAATTTTGAAAATACTACCAATCATACTTGGAGAATCAACCTATCAAAAAATTAAGAATTGGTTCGCGTAAAAAATATTATGGAAAAATCAACGGAGACAATCAAAAGAAAAAAAATAAAAAATGAAGTAATAGATGGACATTAAAATGCAGTTACCTAGAATGAATCACTCTCAACTATTAGATTGGTTCAAATTACTATCTATCGGGATGGTCTATAACTCTAATATATAGAACCATTACACTTGAAATGGTATCGCCTAATCAAAGATTTTTATTTGTCATTATGCCTTTAGCGTATAACAAGTTATATTTTATTGAATATACGGATTGAAAGTTTAGTCGTTATTTTTTTTGATAAAAATAAACTATGTTTGTAATTTTTATTTTGTAACGCTATTAAAATAATTAACCTTTTAAAAATAATTATGTTAAATAAGTAACTTATTTAATCTTGGATAAAAAAATATTATTTTAAAGTTAGGCAAGTATGGTGAGTTTTTGAATTGAACTTATCATGGTTGAACTATTACAACAATTGTTGACCCCGAAAAAACGCGATGCTTACGTGGACAACAGATGTCAGGTCCACTCTCGTCATTGTTACACCTCGCCTCCGAGGTTCAAGTCAAAATGCCACGTAATAATCCACGTAGACAGGAAAAGTCAACAAAAACCTAAGTAGTCAAATATAAAGAAATCATATGAATGGCCGAAGCTCCTATGCCGAGCACTGCCTAACGGCTGAAGTGCATAAATCCGAGGCATTACACAAAGAAATCAAATAAGCCGAGGTTCGATACCCAGAAGACCAATATAAAGCCTCCTCCAACCGAGACCCTCATTTCACCCGAAACTCATGAAGTTGAAGTTGTCTCTTGCAAGATTCTTAGATCATCTTTGAAAATAATTGATGTAACGTTTGTAATTAAAAGTGTCAAGTGTGTTGCCTATCGTATAGAGGGGCTGACCCATTATCAATATATTTATTATATGATAGATAGTGATGTGAAGTCTCAATCAAGTAGATGATGTCACGTGGTTCTGATCCAACGGACACCACATCGGCTAAAACACTATAAATAAAATCTCTTTGTAATCGAAAAGGGGTTGAATCCTGAAATTTTAAACTCCTAAACCCTCGATAATAAATGATCTTGCAAAATTCTAAATATATCATCCAGTTTTGCTCCTCACATATATTTGAGTTGGTTCTTTCACTTGGTTTCCATTAGCTTTCGATTGGTGATTGTTGTTAGCGCAATTACCATTGTTTTACCTGCCAAAGCTTGAATATTTTTGTCTCCCGCCATAGAGCATCTCCCGCGTTCACGCTAGTTTGGCTAATAACCGATTTTTCGGTCAAAGCGCGCTGAAATTTGCTTTAGTTGACGAGAGTGAGCCCGATATTTGTTGTCCACGTAAGCATCGCGTTTTTTCTGGTCAACAACAATCATGCTACATTGACATTAAAATATATTGGGCAGTGGGGACGCATTACCAATTTATTATTGGAATATTCTAACTATACGTGGATTAAAAATATGATTATTTTTGTCATTTCA